CCCCGCTGTGCCTATGGCTCTGCCGAGCACGTTCCGGGCGCTCCGCGCCGCCGTTCGCCGCTGCGATCCCCCGAGCCGCCCGAGCTCCGCGCCCGCCGCCGAACCCCGCGGGTTCTCCCCGGCGGCGGCGGGCGCGGGGTCCCGGCAGGAGCCGCCCCCTCCCCCGCGAGGGGCGCAGCGGGGCCCGCCGCCGCCCGCCGTGGATTTCGGAGACCCGCGCGAGGCGTTCCGCAGCAAGAGCAGCGCGGAGCTGCTGCGAGGGCTGGTGGTGCTGGGGCTGTGCGCCGTGGAGCCGCTGGTGCAGCACAACCGGGAGGTGGGTGGAGGAGGGGGTCCGGCTTGGGAGGGCTGCTCCGGGGCGTGGCTTGTCCCCGTTCCGGGAGTTACCGGCTCTGGACCGGCGGGGCTCTCGCTCAGGGGCCGCCCGCTCCGGGAGGTGTCACTCCCCTACTGGAGGGGGTTCTTGCTCCGGGGAGTTCCATTTTGGGACCGGGAGTCCCAGGATGGAGAGTGACCCCTCCGGACGTGTCGGTGCGGGATGGGGATTCTGTCGCTCCAGGGGTGACTGCTCCAAATGCGGGGAATCTTTCGTTCCGGGAAAGTGCCTGTTGTGCAGGGATACTCTCACTCCGGGGGGTGCCGGTCCTGGGCTGAGGGGGCTCTCACTCTGAGGGTGCCCATTTCGGGACGTGTCATTCCTCTTCCGAGGCTACTCTAGGTCTGAGGGAGAGCTCTCGGACCCGGGCCGGGGGGTTGCTTGTTTTGAGGAATGCCAGTCCTGGGTCATGGGGACTTTTCCTCGGGGAATGCCGGGGTGGGACGGGTGCTGAGCCGCCGTTGTTCCGCAGCTGCTGCAGTTGTGCCAGCGGGTGCTGGGACAGACGCTGTTCGAGCGGCTGATGAAGATGACGTTCTACGGGCAGTTCGTGGCCGGGGAGGACCAGGAGGCCATCAAGCCGCTGCTCCGGCGGAATCAGGCCTTCGGCGTGGGCGCCGTGCTGGATTACAGCGTGGAGGAGGACCTGGGCGACGGGCAGTGAGTGCGGGGCCCGCGGGCTGGGGCGGGGCGGGGGCGGGCCCTGGCCGGGCTGCCATTGGCTGCATCCGCCCAGCCCCCCGCTCCCATTGGCTGCGGGGCCGCTTGCGTCACGGCCTCGCCCTCCGGGCCACCGCCCGTGCCCTCACCGGGGGTGGCAGTGCCCGGAACACGGGGGGTGGCAGTGCCCCGAGCACGGGGGGTGGCAGTGCCCGGAACACGGGGGGTGGCAGTGCCCCGAGCACGGGGGGTGGCAGTGCCCCGAGCACGGGGGGTGGCAGTGCCCGGACCACGGGGGGTGGCAGTGCCC